CGTAACTTAACTTTCGAAAACTCAATCCCATTGTGGAACACTGTGCGCAGTCAAATACAGGTACAAAAGTAACGGTCACGTTGAAATAGGTGGCCTAGACACGCCGTAACTTTCGAAAACTCAATCCCATTGTGGAACACTGTGCGCAGTCAAATACAGGTACAAAAGTAACGGTCACGTTGAAATGTTAGAGGTGGCCTAGCAACTGGTACGAAACGACGTCTCCAGTACTTCAGACTGGTTGATTAAGACAGTGTCAAGCTCTTCGTGGTAGTACTAAATGAGTTCATGCATTCAAATAGAGATCGTTTGAGCCGATTCGAGTGCATCAAAGATCATTTCAGGACTGATCAAAAATCACCCGCTTCATGTTCCATGAATTTCAGGATTTCACAAGTTTTATTGTGTATTGAAGCAATTTGGGGTAGACACAGTAATGTTTTATTATTGTACCCTTCATATCGCATTCCTAGATGGAGTCTTTTTCACAAGAGGACTTCATTCTGGATCGTCACTTGGACTTGGAAGTAGAACGGTAAGTTGCTGTTTACAAGTTTGGCTTCCTATACAAATTAAGTAGTATATTTAGAAGTGACCCACTGTTCACAGCTGCCCGTCTGCCCTGTCTAAAATGTTGTTGCTGACGCTATTGACTAAGTCCCATGTTAGCGAGCGGAAAATGTGGGTATAAGTAGGTAGAAAAGTAGTCAGTAAAGCCCCGGTTGATTGTCTGAACTTTGCACGTCACCAGGCCAAACTAGGGTTTAGTAATCCCGCACGCATGTCGGACAATGTTGGTCGAGGGTTGTGTGCAACGCTGGTAGACGCAACTAGAAACAAGCGACTGGCCTCGGCTAGGTAGCCCAACAGCGGCTGATTTCTACAGCCAAGACGGCTAATTGATTAATCACAAGTACAACTTGGAACACTTTGATGGTCTGCGACGCAACCAAGAGACTGGGAGAACCTACTGTGTGCTTACGTGTGCGCGGATGTGTTTGTCCATTAGTATATGCGTAGTGCAAAGGCGCGCTCGCACACACACAAGGCAGGCACAATCGAGTGGGGGGGGAGTGGGTTGAACGATCGACAAAAGCAGAAGCCAGGTAAACGCAAGTTGCCGGGCCGGTATTGTCCAGGAAGTGTGCCACACAAGTGCCAGACTTGGAAGAACGGTTTTGCACACCCACACAACCACAAGCAACCTTCGCTGCAGAGTACAGTTAATTCGCTTGGTTGCGTGGACGTCCACATGTGTTTCGGGCAAACCGTCTTAATCGTGCTGTTCACGAATCACGGAAGCGAACGGCCACCCGCCAAGCTACTTGTGCCCAGCCAATTACACTGCACCATTGAGTGAGAGTGCGACAACAATGGGAAAAAACAGTATCTTATGCGTAAAGAGAATTCGATTCACTAAGATGCCAACGAACAGACAATGATTGGGATGCTGAATAGTTATGCAGGGGGTCAGGAATCAAAGGTGCGCGTAGGATTCGAGAGATGAGTAATTCGGTTTCCATTGGCCGGACGGACAGACGGACGAGACCGGCTAGGGTACAGACTGAAGAATCGGCAAAGGAATTAGTAGCTTTGATTTGCACGAGTGACTTCACACTCGGACAGCTCATCCAAAGTGAGTGAATTCCGTCGTCTTTCGGCTCTACCAGTTAAGCGCGGACATGTGTTACTGGCGGCAATCACGGTGTTAGTGGTGGAGTTCTTGCAAGGTAAACGAATGTCACTCGCTAAGAACCTGGACAGGTGAAATCAGGTGAAATCAGCTATGGAAAAGCTCTCAAAATCACCGTGACAAGTTGAAAAAGACAATAAAGGAGGTAGTTCATTAACTCGCTTCAGCTGCCAGACGCTACTCATGCGGAGTTGGGAACGAAGTTGAAGACACGGAGATGCACAACCAAAGTCTGATGACTAGGATAACGGTAACATGCACTGCTTTAAAGATCATTGTACACACAAAACTGATGGAAACAGTTTTTACTGAACTCTTGAACTCTATCCGTACAAAACAAATATATTTTGTGATTACGCATCACCAAACAATTCATACTTTTTGAAATGAGCATAAAGATCGGTGGTTTCTACAACGCTCTTTTTTTCTATAGTCCACATGAAAGAGTCAGTCAGTATCTGGGATTCTGCCATCCTCGAAACAACCGTATACAAGCGTTAGACACACAGTTCGGCAGGATGAGACCTACTTTCAGTCCAGACTGGATGAAAGTCTAGTGACTAGCCGGAATACTTTATCGGCAGTCCCAGCTGGGCAATATATCAAACGGCTGATTCGCAAGCATTGCATAGAAGAAATGTATATCGGTTCTTCCGGTTTAGGGGTGACCGGTCGGCAAACGACATAGTACACAGATCGACTTCGGCTGCGCGGCTACCGCTTACCTAGAACTGTACTCCAAGAATTAGCTGAAATTTAGCATCCACACACACACACACACACACACAATCTCTCAGTTCCCCTCGAGGTGCGGAAAAACTTGCATATCGATATCTACCAGAAGGCTTGGTAGAATACATACCACAATATATGCTTCCGGCAACAACGCAACTGTCTCCATAGGATTGCAGGTCAAACAACACGTTCAGCTGTAGCACCCTTTCGGTGCCTGACTCCCATGCCACCCGAAGGATGCACGAGGGCTGGGATACTGCCAGGTTGCCCAAGCCTAGACAGGGGAAGTCGAGAGACAGAGGTCGGGTTCGGACCATGAACCTTTCGGTCGGTAAATCCACGCTCTAACCACTTGAGTCAAAAACACGATCCTGTATGGTGTGTTGCTCACCACTTGCTGCAGACTGGTAATCGAATCGATCCAAAATATTCGTTCGCTATCAAAGGAATAAGAACCCTAAATCTTTGTCTGTCCGTAAGGCTATGCTCAGCAACATTCAGCAAGGCAAAAGAAAAGTGGAGCAGTGCATTCGGTGATGTTGTTTTTGTAACAAAAGCCTACACTTGCATCAGACCGACCGTAAAGCAGTTGCAAACATTCCACCGTGAAATCTGTTCCACATCCGTATTGATGTGGTGGATAAAGGAAGTCCGTTTTCTTTCAATATAGCACAGCCGAAGGACAGAATGATCTAAAGTGTCTTCAAAAGTCAACTAAACCGATTTTAAAAAAAACTGCGAATGAAGTTGCCTAATTTCAAATCGAAAGCCACATATTAGTAGAAAAGCGGTTTCCAACATAGAACAATTCAGCGAAAACAACGTCATTCAATTTACACTATCCTAAAAGGCATTTGCCGCCTGACGACCATAGATAGAAGTGCACTAAAGATGCCGACAAATCAACTGACAACAAGTAGAAAAGAGAACTGTGGTATCAAAATACAGGGACACTGCTGTCAGACTTCCTTCTTAGCTCGCCAGCTACTAGGATACATTGGCGAAAAAAGTTTCCTGTGATCGTAACTAAACATCAGAAACATCGAATGCCTGTGTGACGACAACCTCCGCATGAATGACAGGTGTCCATTTGAACTAATCAAACAGACGCGTGGAATGCTGATGTGAACGTACGCGAACCCAGTCAGTGGGTGTCTATCGGTTCAACAAAAAACATCTATTATTAGGCACATAGGAGAAGTTTAATAAGATAAGTGAAGCGCAGAGTGACCGGGAATCGACGCCGAACTTTGTGCTGTCCCCTGGAGATGTTTGTATGCAAACAGCCTTGCTATACGTCAGCATTCACCATTCTCGGAATGATATGCGCCAGTGCACTGAATGGCATACGAGAAAAAAAACAACCAAACGCACCAGCAAAAGCTCAGCTGACCAAGGTCGTTTGTCCTTTATTGGCTTCTCATTTGAGTATATGTGGGCTTACTAAACCTTCGGCTACCGAGTACAAGCTCAGTATCGCGTGTGAACGCGCGATTGGCAGTTGCATGGTTCTAACGTCAAGAGCTAACCAAAGGGTCCCTGGGCTGACCACATTTACGCTCATATGAGCCACACTAAAGCCATGTACTAATGAGTTTGGAACGACTAGTTTTTTTTTCTCAGTGTGAATCTGTGATTAGTTAGGACAACTGGTCTACAAGTTATCGAGTAATAGGATGGCCTAAGCCAATAGCTAGCTGAAATGAACGACACTCTTCACACCTTCCTTTATGTACTCTGCTAGGATGTTCGCCAGGCTAGTCGCATTAGAGCATCCGTGACCGAACAGACTAGACTAGGCCATCAGGTAGAAAGGTAAACATTAGGAATCAGGATTATACGAAAGTCATGACTCCGTTGCGAGGAAGCATTTTCAAAGGATGATTGAATGGCGATAGTTTCCCGTTGGAAGGCTGGTTACAAGGAACTGCGTCACACACACTCCGCGTCGCAGCGATACCATTTAATTTGTGGATTGTATGTGACGGCGCTCTTCATTTTACTAGACGTGACTGATACACAACAAAACATTTACATACGTCTGCTACACTTAGATGACTACGGACGAGGTGATTCGTGTGCAAATTCGGAATGGCCAATATAACGTATCAGATGTATTCTAATATAGAACTAAATTAGTGATAACTATCCGGAGCTGACAGGCATTTGAAACGGATCTGCCGGTCGATGGTGACCGATCCATCGGGCATCTGCCAACAGTAGGCGAACTACAAGTAGCTTGTGCGGAGCCGAATGTGTTGCTGTGTGTAAGCCGCAGGTGCCAAAATAAACTCGGGTGAAGATGATCAGCGAAAAAATACGCACAGGTTTGTAGAGAGCCATAGGGGCGGGATGGCCCAAATGCTTAGAGCGGAAGGTTCGTGGTTCGAACCCGACCTCCGCCGCTCGATTCCCTGTCTCGAACCCGACCTCCGCCGCTCGACTTCCCTGTCTAGGCTTGGGCAACCTGGCAGTATCCCAGTCCTCATGCTTCCTTCGGGTGTGGCATGACAGGCACCGAAAGGGTGCTACAGCTGAGCCTAGAGAGCCATCAACCAACCCAGGCAGACTTCAAATGCCGTATCCATTATCCCCAAGTGAGAGTGCCCTGAAAACAAGTTTTTTGAGTATATGACACGCACCGAGCCATCCATGAGAAGACTGTCTAGTTCTGAGGAATATGAACTTTGGACTACTGAAATGCTTCGAAATGCTTTGTTACCAGCCTGTGAGCTCAATGATCGGGCAAACTTAAAAGAAATCACCTGAGGATATATCATTCAACAAGAATGGATGGTAGGGTATCCTGTCCCGAGAAACGCAGTTAATCAGTCAACAGTGTACGCTGAGAGCATTTCAGAGCATTTTTCGGTCTTTTGTTTCATCATGCTGACAAGGTCAAATACGGGAATCATCAAATTCACTAACTGTTACGCTAAATCCTACCGCCAAATTGTATAAAGGAGATAACGCCACCAACAGTGGCTAAATGTGTGATATAAAGATCCAGCAGTGAAGTTTGTTATGAAGCTCCGAGGAGCGGAGCTAACAGACCTACTAACTACCAGAATATGGAGAGCAAACGCTCCGAAGCAAGATAGTTCTGCTCATTGCAGGACTAGCTGATAACGACATATGAGCTGCTGCTGCGTACGGAACTGTTTGAGCAGCGAGCTTGTACCGCACATTGTTGCTCCCGTGGCATTCGAAAAGCTACGGGAAGAAAAGACCCACGCTGGAATAAGCAAACCAGAACTCGCCACACGCAGCCACTACTGGTGACCACACCAACATAGAGAGATGCAACTCATATCAAGCATGTTGGCTCCTCAAGAATATGACGCGTCGAAGCACAGCACCGGTTGAAACAGTGAAAACCGGCTATCTGGACGAAATGGTTGAAGTTGACAACACATGTCCAATAAGCGAAACGCCCAGGAAGGACAAACATATACCCACAAAAGTGGTCTGCTTTGCCAAATAGTGCGAGGCAGTAGTATCATTTTTCAGGCCGACGCAATTGTTGTAATTAATTCAATCATCAAATACTGGATCTGTCAGCAATGCACCCAATCAAATATATACTGACCGTAAATTGAACTGAAAGCATTTCAGTAAATGAAATGTGCGAGGCACCGACAAAACTTGCACCATACCCCATCACCAGTAAGGTGACGGGTTGGTTGAACGGATCTTTCGAGGCTCTTCTGAAGGTACTTCCAGAAATGAACCCGAGCACATCGGACCAAGTCGTGCTGAGGCAGCTTTACCATGCAGAGGACTGGTCTGCAAGTTCGCCGGTCAGGCGCTGTTTCTCATGTGGACAGTGCGTGAAACCAGGCTACACAGTGATGCACGATTGCCAACACAATCGTCATATCGAACGTCCGCCACAGATTACGTCCATCAAGTAGTGGCAGCCTTTAACAAGCACATCGAACAGCTTGGAGCTATCTGGAAACCACACAACTATACCAAAACAACTATAACAATAAGAAATTGGATACCCCTTTAAAACGACGGATGCTGTTTGACTGCAGAACAGTATTACCGACCCGAAAGTACAGGGAGAGGTGTAGTCTGCAGTCTCGATATAAGGTGCTGTCGGAAACAAACTGCATACCAGGTTCCCTGGACAAGTGTCTACTTTGACAGACTGAGACTTCACCATGAGGAAATAACTGAGGTGCCCAACACTGTACACTTTTTACTCATTTTGAGCGTTTAATATGCTGTACCTTTTGTGGTTCTCCTGCTGACAACTCTAGTTTGGGAAAGTCAGACCGAGAACTGAGCTGAGACATGACCGTTAGTTCTTAAACAAAGCAATTGATGACAAAAGCTTGATTGGTTTCCTGTTATCTGTTCTCCACAGTAACAACACTCTGTTCCGTTTTCCGTAGGTTAAATGGACAACTTCCAGCGGATGCACTTTCTATCATTGTCGTAAGGTCCTTGGTTCGAACTCAAATACTGCATCTCGATGGCTCCCGTCCAGGCTTGAGCTACCTGGCAATATGTCAACCTTTGTACTTTCTTCGGACGGCACTGAAGGGCACTGGAAGGGCGTTACAGCTGAACGACCATCAGGTCAGTTACCACAAAGGAAGACCAGGTACCGGCGATGCCCGTAACATCAGTCGCTCAACATTACAGGCAGAAAAATAAACTGAGTCAGTCGCGCAGGGCACTTCCATTGCTCAGTGTCTAGGATAGTACGTCAATCTCTACTGTAACCAGAAAGTGTCTCCCTGGCGAGGTTATGTGAAAGAAACCTCGCCTAGTAGCCAAAATAAACTATGGGCAATCAAGCTAGTAAACTTGTGAGGGCAGGGGAATACATATTTTTGCTGCCAAACACAGTCTGCATGTCTTTCCAGAGCACCTATCAAAATCTGTGGAAATTCGCATCCGAAGTCCGAAAATTATTGAGAAAATTCGTTTCAACAAAACGGAACAAAAGTTCGCATGCAACCATGCGATACTAGTTCACTCAGAAACAAAAGTTACGTCGTTAGCAGAAAAATGCGGAAGCACGTCATCATCGTCATCTTCACCATCATTATGATCATCGACAGCATGACATCAGTTTTCAACACCGATGCTTCACTGCCGTCAGACAAGTGTCTCTATCATGGACCTCCCCTGAAATCCCGCCTCTTTAGTCCAAATTCGATTATGCACACAGAACAACAAATAACTGAAACGAATGGCTTTTTAAGACAGCATGTATCGAGAATCTGCAAGTAGTTCCTAAGCAGGATAAGCTGCGCCGAACGAAAAAAAACACGAATATGGGATGCTACGGCATCTGAAAATTTTGGCGAAGTAACAGATGGGCAATTCGCATAGTGCGAAAAAGGGCCGATGCATACCTGGTATGTGTTGGATCTGGTCACCTACACGAACGGAGAAAGTGGCACCAGCATCCACATGAACCATGACGTAATAGTCCCCTCCTCCTTGTACACCAGGTGGGCCAGTTGCAGAATTAGTCAAGTCGGTGGGATTAACGCCTGAATTCACGGGACTGGCAGCGGAACTAAGAAACAATGGCGTAGAAGGAACAGTGCTCTCAACAGAAGGCATGATCAAATCTGTACTAGGAAGTATAGAGGATGGCGTTGTGACCAAGGGATGGTGTGTGTTTGCGGCGGGAATAGCTGCTGCTGCCGAGGTATGCAGAGTATGCAACTGATTCGGTGACGAGTTAGAGGAGATATATGGGACAGATCGCGGATGTAACAAGTACGGTGAGACGTGCTGAGGGACAACTACCCCAGATGGATATCCCGGGTGTGCACCGGGAGGGAATTGTTCTGGGATTGCGGCAATCATATTCATGGACGACGGATAGTTGTGGGGTGGCACGGGCTGACTAACATATGAACCGGTAGAGTACTGAGTGGTTCGAAATTTGTCGGCACTTAGAGCACTCGTCATATTGACGGAAAGACGATCGGGAGTGTTGCACTGATGATAGCCATCTTCACAGGTAGGGGCAGATATGTCTGCAGAATGCGGAACGACAAGGTGGGTGGGTGAATCTGAAACAGCTATGAGGCCCGGCTGACTGGTAGTCGGCATAGGTTGCTGGGTTGTTTCACCTTGATCAGAATGGTCCGCAAGAGTATCCAGGGTTGTGCCTCCGGCATTCTGCGCAGCACGTTCATTAGTAGTTGAGCCTTTCTTAGGGGATTCTGAATTTGTATTGCTAACTGTCGTTGATTCTTCTATTGAATACCGATGTCCGTTTTCCATAATTTAAGCGACAGAATAACCAAAGGACTCAAATTGATCGTGCATAGCCAGGAACAAGCTACAATATAGAAAGGGGAAAGTTACGTCGCTCATCAATGAGTAGTAGGTTGCAGATGTTGGTGATTATCGTGGAAATATGGTTAGAAGATGGGAGAATGATATGGAAAAAGTAGAAAGATTATACTGTCTCTAGACTGCCTCGTTACCACTCAGTACAGGCAAAATAAAAAGGACTACTGTTAATCCCGAAGATGACTGAGGTAAATGACTGAAAAGGGAAGAAAATGCAACCAAGTAACACAACGGATTCCATATACTCATCGCTACCATTATTACAGGGTGCAACACCTGCACTGACGAAGATACTTCATTGTCATAAAGTTCATTTAGTCGGGGCGAGACAGCTCAAAAGGTTATAGCGCGAATCTGCTGACTGGAAGGTCCGTGGTTCAAACCCGACCTCTGCCTCTCGACCCCCCCTGTCTAGGCTTGGGCAACCTGGCAGTATCCCAGCCCTCATGCTTCCTAAGGGTGGTATGGCAGCTAGGCACCGGGAGGCTGTTACAGCTAAACGATTTTCCTTTATTTAATCGGCTTTACAGCCCCAAAAAGCTAATGCCAAAGTGGTTTATCCACAGTTTCCATGTGCTATTTCTGGGGATTAAAACTGCGGTAGAGACGTCGCAATCCGAAAGAACGTCTGGTTTAATCAACGTAAAGCGAAGAAGTTCAATCGGGCAAGGTAGCATAAAAGCTAAGCCTACTCTATCTGCAGCTGGTGACTCTCAGCAACTCAGAAAGAACAGTTAGCAATTTGTTTCATTTTTACCGATAATCAAACCCCACTGCATCCATCGTCTCTAAAAGCCGCGCTGAATAGCTTTCCGAAATGTTCGTACCATCGCTTAATACGACGCAATTGCGAGCACAATGTTGAGTCGTGTTTCTCTTTGGTTGTTTTGCTGTCCGTAGCTTTCTTCCCGCCCGTCCACTGAATAGACTGGCACAACAAATTCAGGTGGTGACTTCCTGCTACATATTCTGGGCTTTTGCTATCGGTCAGCTCTCCGTATTCTCCGAGAGTCCGTATGGCTAGTTGTTTCATTGGTCCGTGTTTATCGTCACAGTCATTGCATGGATATTCTGGGATCAATCCGAGTCGCTGATCCCGAGGTTTATAGTATTCGTATACACGTGACGGAAAAGCAGAAAATAATTTCAAACGCTACTAATATAAGCGTATTTATATGCTTCTATGCATTAAGCAGATGCGAACAGCCGAAACCACGTACGTTGCCTCCGCAAAGATGTAGACTGATTGCCTTCGACATTGTTTGGCTATGATTGTCCTCCGAAGAGGTTGGATCGATTCGACTTTCAATAGCTTCCGGAGTCCAGAGAAAGCACAAATCCATATAATCTAAATGGACTCACAGTTGATCTGAGCCTCGTCGCAGCAAATTTACAAGATACCATGGTCTATGTTGGCAAATGGTGCTAGATCGAAACAGGTGATGGTCATCGCATAGCGGGAGAAGTTGTTTTCCATTGTTTGTGCCAGAAGTTTCGGTTCCCAAGGGTATCGCTCCACTGACTTCAGCATTTATCTTACCGGCAAACATAATGATATTCGTGTTGTGTTTCCCGAAGCATATCAGACAGAATTCCACGACGGGCTCTCTCCTCAACGTCCAAGTGGGTGTCATTCAGACCACAGAGACTACCATAGGCAAGTACGGAACACTGTGTCAATTGGCATGGGTTTGGAACCGGACAACCTAAGCCCAACCGTCAACAATTACGGTGGCACGTGAAACCCTGACTCGTGAGAATCAAAGGGGATTCCGACCGGGTAGGGGCCGCGTTGACCATATCTTCATGTTCCGTCATGTGTTAGAGTAGCGCCATATGTATAGATGACCCACAAGTTTGGTGTCCTTTGACATCAATGGTGCGCTCGATTCTGACGATCGGTCAGTGCTGTTAATCATACTTGCTCAACATGGCATGCCCCGCATGTTAATGAACATGATCCGGTCCCTATTATCACATACTTCTGGGCTTGTGAGAGTTCAAAGAGAGCTCCCCAAAAGCTTCCCTACAAAGAATTGTGCCCGACAAGGGTGTATACTATCTCCATTGTTGTTCATCTTTGTCTGTGATGAGGCGATCCCTTGGAAGGCCTTCAAAGCTTAGGTGTTCAAGTTGTTGCTAGTGAGAACCTTGTCGATCTGGAGTACGCAGGTGACAGAGCCCTCATCTTTGAAGGTGAAAAGACAGCGCAAGCTCCGTTATACCATCTTTTGGAAAACGCCTTGCACGTTCAAAGTGCAAAGTCACACTCCATAACGTAAAGTCTCTGATCTGAGTTTCTGAACATACACCTTACAAACCGTTTGTGGAGAGCTTCACATGCCTACATAGTTGTATTAGCTCCGACGGAAGTGTCCGATGAAGTCAGTGCACGAATCTCAAAGGCTTGAATCATATTTACTGAGTTGCGTCACTTGTGGCATCAAAAAGGCATATCACTGGGTCTCAATGATCGCGTGCACCAGGCTGCAGTAATGGCTGCGTTGCTGTATGGGTGAGAGACGCAGCCTCCGCGAACATATGATGTGGGGCGTTTTCAGGTTTTTGATCACCGATGCCTCAGTAACGTTGTTGGTTCTGGATGGCATCAGAGGATTAGTAACGGGGCGATTAAAAAAGGGCTACTTGGTTGTCCGGCAGATGATTCAACCGCGAAAAACATCCAGCACCATCAACTGTGGTGGCTCAGTCATGTGTTACGCATGCCGAAACACTGCCCTCCGTGCCCGCTTCAAAATGGCGAAAACAACGAGGTGGACAACGTACGGCTTGGCAGAAGGGCCTGAAAGAGAATACGAAAGATTTGAGTGTTGTTGGTGTTGTACGCCTTCCAGGGTGAGGACCCGTGACCCCGTCTGTGCATGGCTAGGAACTGCAAGAAATGGCGCTTGATCTACGTCAGTGCCGTTTGTGTCGTCAGTTACCTTCCAGATTGTCTGAATGCGCGCTTGGAGGTGAAGTCACCTCAAAATGTTTGATATAGGCCAGAACTAGGTCCTCTTCTTCACTCACTATTTTTCTTCTTTTTACTCTCTGGCTTTAAATATAACTAGATGAGCTTTACAGTTGTACGGCAGTGAAGTAGCAATATCAACACTGGTGTTACGATCTCTGATGATGGTGAACTATCCACGGGAATGCAGTAATATAAGACGTGTTCGACTCTGGATCAATTCCAGACCCACATTTGTTACCAGCCATTACCTCATGGCTCGGATGGCGAAATTCGCAAATGATGGTTTCGATTTTGGAATATAGGGATGCCAGCACAACGCGTGCCGAAAGAGAGCAGCTCCGCTCAGTAGCTGAACAGTATAGATCTGATCTGGCTAGAGAACTAATGGAAACGCACAGTAATGTCAGCAGTCAGTCCAGCGTGAGATTTCAATCATGAAGCGCGACAAGGTACCTGGCCCGGATGTTTTACACTTCGCGCTCTGCAAAGAAGGTGGAGAGGCCCTGGTGAGCAGTCTGACAACAATACTGCAGAAGATTTGGAACGAAAACAGAATACCAGCCGAATAGATCTCCTCGACCGTTGTCTGTTTATAAAAAGGGAGAAAGAACGTCGTGTGAAAACCATCGTGGTATCATCCTGGAATTCGTCGCATTGAGAGTGCTCTCTGGCATTATTTTGCGCAGTTGATGGATTATCGGGAGAGAGTCGTGAGAATTAAGCTGGGTTTCGCCCTGGTCGACCATATCTTTACCTTGAGACAGTTCTTGAACAGCGCCATTCCTTCAGACGTCCCGCTTTGGTCGTTTTTCTGGACTTGAAGGCTGTTTTTGATTCCGTCGATCGTCAGAAACTCTGGCAGTGTCTGGCGATCAGATAGGTCCCTTCCAAACTTCTCACTTATGAGGGCACTGTATCCGAAACCCTGCGGGCGCGTGAGAGTATACGGGAAGCTCTCCCATAAGTTCACCACGTTCAGTTGTGTAAGACAAGGCTGTCCTCTTTATCCTTTCCTCTTTAACTTTGTCACTGATATGCTCCCTGAAATTTCTCTGCCTGCCTTTGAAACCTCGGGAGTCGAAATGCTCCCGGGACGTCCCCCCACAGACATTGAGTATGCAGGCGACATTGCTCCCCTTGGTTCAGACCGCACGGTTTGATAAGAGTTTCATACCTGCAAAGTGTAAGCTACTGCTACAAGACTGGGTAAGATCAAACCCACACCTCATGGTTGCAAGTGAGCCGATCGACTTGCAGCTGTATAAGTTCCGGTGGACTGGCTGGAAATGAGGTTATTTCTCAAAAGGGAAAGGCCATAACAGCTTTTGCCAACCTCCCACACCTGTGGGGCCGACGCGACGTTAGCCTGTCAGACAATGGCAGAGTTTACACTGCAGCGATGTGATTCATACTGCTTTATGGATCGACCCCAACGTACAGATGACGTACAAAAGATGTCAGTGTTTGACCATCGGTGTCTCCAAAGCACTGGTCGAGCCTGGTGGGAACATCGGATTAGTGATGTTAAGGTACGCCAGATGGCTCCAGGAATAAAGACCTCTCGCGCGATAGCTAAATTATTCACGTCTGGTAGGTTATGCCGGTTAAGAAATGCACTGCGCGTGCCAGCAGGCCGTCTGCTCCGCAGAGCTCTTTTCGCCCAACCCTGTGGTGGTAGTGACCAAGAGGTGGAAAGTGCATATGGTCTAGCAACGAAGTATGAAAACACTACCAGTAAACTTAGTCGAATCGACGACTGCCGCCTCTGGATGGGGACCCCGGGATTCAAATCACCAGTGGTTAAGAACATTGGCGGAAACGGCCCAATCGTATAGTCAGTGGCGTTCGTGCATCAAAGCTATCACCTTCAATGCGTAGCTACCCAATTTCCGAACAAACTGAACACGCCTTCACCTTGATTGTATGTTCCACTTTCCAGTTTTCCGGTGGTCGAAACTGTAGCAGCTGGAACCAACGTACCTATGGCACACGATTTATGGCTAGTAAATTGAATTGAATTGATGTTGAAGGTTGACATGCACCAGTGACTTTTTGGACTTATTGAAATAACGCTCTGCTTGATTTTAATGGAGAGTGCGTTAGGTAAAAGGATTCGGTTAGAAAGATGACTGCGTGATTTTTCACAAGCATCTGCCGAGGAGAGATGGCACTTACCCCCACTCCAAACTTTTTATTTAGTCTGGCTCAGAGAAAGGTGAGAATGCAATGCTTTGTTCTGTGACTATCTGTGCCGTTTCATTAAGCAGGCTAGCCCAGAAGGCACTGGTCATTCAGGTTTTCTGGGATCCTGTCCAATGCTAACGACTTGATATTCTGATGCACTTGGGTTCTAGGTCTGGCACGCCAGGTGGCAGGGTATGAAATTTTCGATGTTCATCAACACCATAAATGGTATAACATCAGAGTTCAACACTGATGCTCCGCTGCCGTACAATCATGATTCATCTGAAAACTTGTTGTGAAGAATGAAAGTGGATATAGAGGGGACTTAGTACCAACCAACCACAATCATTCTGGGATGCCCACGCCCCCATACATTCATTCAATCAGGGCGGAAACTAACACTCCATCCATATCTTGCAGTCTATAACCAGGCACAATCGGACCTATCCTGGAAGATGAGACTCAAAGCCAATACTCAGACTTTTTGTAATCTCTATCATATCCCTCTACCAGGTCGAAGGTTGTCACCTATCTGCCTGCGCTACTCCTAATGGGGCACAGAAAACAACTCCCTTCGAAAAGAATGATTCGATATGACCTAACCAACACAGTTTTCAGTGCTGCACACATTCTTTGCCGTTAGACAGCCGAATACTCGCCTTCTTGTTTGCTCGCTACCTATTCACCCGCAACAGCCTACACGATGTATGGTTCTGAGACAACGGTTGTCGAAAGCTTGAGGACGTCTAAGTTAAGCTGCTGGAAGAAGCCAAGGCTCACAGCCGTACAACAAAACACGTCGCATGAGATTCAGAGATACGTTACTTCACCGCCAAAGGTGCCTAAATTGGCAGACCAACCCTATCCCTAGGGATTCGTGCGCTAACCTCATCTATCATACTACAATCCAAACTACTCCAACTTTCCAGGTACGTGAAACGCTTCATAACTTCGGATTCCTCTCCATTGATGCTAAGTAGCGTGTTCCAGAAGCATATGCAGAAGCGTGACTCTCATCTCGTGGTTGCAAAGCGCATACCAAATGGCTGGCCAGTCTATCCGAAAACACCTGGGCCTTCTCTTCTTCAAAGACGACAACGACTTCATCTGCATATTCAAGGTCGACGATGATCTCTCAGCAACTACTTGAACACCAGGGTTCTGAAGACCTTCCAGCGTTCGCCTCATTATCTCACCGATCATGAAAGGAGAGAGTGAGTACCTTCGAGGGACAACATTGTATTCTGGAGTCTTTAAAGAGCATTCCGCATATGCCCACGCTCGCAGGTCTGAGATGAACTTATTATACATTGCTTGCTGGGTGTGTTAAGGAGAACGGATTGATCAACTGAATTGGAAGCGCCTGAAAAACCCAAGAATACTCAAATTATAAGTATGGTATTGTTCTAGCGCCTGGCGGGGTGTGAAGATATGGATTTCGGTTGTTGCCACTGATTTTAATGGCAAACGCCCATGGGGTTACATCACATCCATGGCTGGTTGTCGACCATATCGAAACACTCGTCGGCGGTCACGACCAACCTTTGGGTGATCGTGTATGCGGCTCTTAAAGCAGACGTTTTCTAACCTGCCACATTTCGAAAACGTCAACAATGCTGTTCTTATAGACATGCATATGCTGGTGAAAACAAGTTAGCATCTTCCCACTCCAGGTGAACTAACTAATACGACTTTACCTCCAGGGCATCTCGTATTAAGAGCAATTGTAATACGGAGGTTTGTTACCGCTTGTATGACCATTATTCATTCGTCTTGCTAGCAAGGCTGATCCTTGAGGCAAAGACCGCGAGCCAGTTACATTTGAATCCCAAAAGCATCACAGATAATTGTGGCTTGTCAACTGATAACATACCATGTGGATTTTCGCCCTTTGTGTGAAACCCCGATATTGAGCTCCTACATTTGTCCGATGCCTCGTAACTCGGTGCAATGGCAAGACCAAGACTGAATCCAGCCTCCTGTACCAAGAGCTGCCACCCAACTGTAAAAGCCGGGCTTTCATCATCATAATCAAAGACAGCAACACCTATATTGACACTGATACCTCACCACCGGGCTTTAGTGTCTTATTGATCCCTGAGGCGTGCTTATTGAAACTCCGTTCTGCAACGTCCACTCATATCAGGAAGGCTGGAGGGGAGCAGCCAGGCAAAGAGCAGCAAGTTGCTCTACTACGAATAATAGCCTTAAAATACGATATGAGTACAAATTCGTACGGCCCTGTGCGATTGGACTGTGAGGTCAGTCAGATGTTTCCTCAATTTATCACTACGCTCATATTTACAGAGATGGTGGCGCTATATGGATAAGAGCCGCTGGACCTAAAACGACAAAATCCGATCACCCAGGAGTTGGTCGTACGCGCCAGTGACTAATAAAAGATAGTCTAGGAAGCGACCGACCATAAAGGCTTTATATGAATCCAAACACAGTTGTTGACGCATAGGGAGGCAGACAACGCTATCAACAACGAACAACTATGGGAGCGGACAAATCACTCGACGACGATTGGACGAACAATGCCGGTGTAATACAAGCCATCAGGGATAAAGATAAATCAGCATTACACTCATAATCCATCTTGAGCAACCGGACGGATGTTTCGAGGGGTAATTGAACCGGTCTCGTTCAGCACAGATACTAGAAGCAACAAGCGGACTAGAAAGAATACTGGACAGTAGTGGCAGAAACATAGTACGAGACTCCGTTCTGTAGTCGTGGCAAGGCACGTGGAAGACCAGCACTGCACTTCACAACGAATATATGGAAATATTCACAACCGCCTCTAAAAGCGCTTCAAATCAAGTGGAATCAATGGGGGAAAGGTGTAAGTGCAATTCGCAAAAAGGGTGCCACAACATCTTGAGAAAACGACCAGACCGAGAATTAAAACATGTATAGTGAATAGCTCCTTAAAACTTGCGTGATGTTCCTGCACGCACCCGCAGCCATGCGGCCAGGTTTTTTAGCCAATCTAGGTGTGGGCACTGCACGTAAATCAGCGGAAGAAGCATGAACTTCACAACCACCCTTGAGTGACATCGGCCACTACGTATTGCCATTGGTAGGATCGCCTGCTGCATATAACATGGGCGGTAGACGGAAACAGACAAACGCTGACGCCTCTCCTTACGCTTTCATGAATCCCTCCTTCTTCCTTGAGCCATCTACTGTATATGCATGTTCCGGCTGTAAGAACGAGTCTTCTTTCCATTACCCTTAGAGGCAACCTTTGCGTGTCCGTCTTTGGTAACGTGTATAGACAGCTAGGAATCAATATTCAAATCCTGAAAACCAGTTTTCCCAGTTGTCTTTAGTGTTCGCATCCTGAAACAAGCAGGACAAGCTTCTGTTGCTCGCACGTTAAATTTCATCCGTACCCACGGCTGGCATGGCTGACTGACCTTGATCAAGCTGGCAACACTGTTGTCGTGTTGTGCCCTATCAGAGATTCAATGTTTGGATGAGGATAACGAGACTGCCCAAGTGGGTAGAGCACGAATTTACTGACCAGAAGGTTCGTGGTTCCAACCCGACCTCAGCCCCACGACTTCCCCTGTCTAGGCTTGGGCAACCTGGCAGCATCCCAGCCTTCGTGTAACCTTCAGGTGACATGACAGTTAGACACCAAAAGGGTGCTACATAGTTGCATTCTGGTATACCCTGCCGATGGCAAGGCGAAATATGTCCTCATCTCCGCTTTCACGGCAAAGCGGTTGATTCCATTATGATACTGATCTAGTGAGTCTCCACGATAGCTGGTCGATTTCTCCGACCGTTGCGCTGGCTTCGGCATTGCGGTTGAGTGTGTATAAGTTTCCACGCACCTATAGCACTCTTCACGCGGCATCCATTTGTTGCGGTTCAAAATCCGAGAATCCCAACGAGTAATGCGGAGCGACGATGGCACGAGAAACACTGACAGATGACATCGAGCAACTCAGGAACGCCGTGGACTTCGGATGCGACCTAGATAGACACATCAAATAACCAAAATCAAAGCCCTAACCATTGCAAATTAGTTTGGAGCAGCTAAGGCAGGCAACAAACCGAGCATGAAATGGGGCTCACGATAATTAGTCAGTGCGTTAAAGCACAGTTGCATAGAACTGCACATACCACTTTCCAAAAATCACCAAAATCGTTGGATTTATCTTAGTTTATCCATGTCCGCAAAAACAAACAAGCAACGGTGGAGAAGTCATCCAAAAAACAACGTAAAAAACAATGAAGAGTTTGTAACATTATTCAAAAACAAAAACCCAATGACTCCCGTAATAACGTCCGACTCACGAGGCCACCGACTGATAACCACCCAAGCAAATAACAATCCAAACAAGAATCCAGCTCATCCGAATAAGAAAGTGGATCAATGAAAAGCTGGATCCACGAGAAATTCAGAAAAACACCAACCCCCGGAATACAAGTAGTTGGCTTCTCCAGACACCTGTCGTTATGGTTAATGTCGTTAGCGCTTCTTATCTTCTGCACTCCGCTCCAGTACTGCCAGGCACACCAAAGCTCCCGAGATTCTTGATTTCCCCCTAACTCTAAAATTTCAACGCCCGCGCCTTAGGTCAGATCACGGATTCCGGGACCCACGAAGTTCTACATTGGATCAAAGTTTTCTTCTGGGCTTCCTGGGTTGGGCCCGCTTGCGGAGTTCATCACTTTCACCTCGCCTGGTAGGCACAATAGAATAAAAAGCGTAACACCGCTCACAAAAGTTTTATCGCAAGAAGCGGGCGAGCACTCACAAAAATATCGAACTGTTGTTTGCTCCGGGTCCTTGATGCAATGTGGATTAATGTAAAATTCTAAGTTTTTCTACGCATCGACTGATCGAAATTAGGGAAACTTATTCCTATTACCGATGATTGCCTTGAACTTGAAAACCTTATCTTGTCTCCGCCATTAGTCAGCAGATTTGACGGCTAAGAATTTTTTCGACTAAACCATGTTCAAACAAGACGCAAGAGAGTATTAGATCGCCTTGGAGGTGATGAATGAGCAACGAGAACCAAGTATATCGAGATGCGTCTTACAGTCAGTGTATGGCAGCTCGCTGGACACGCCCAATAGGAGTTTCCTTCAGGTCTCCTGGCTATGGTACTCAAAAAGCGGCCACAAAATGTTTCCGGATGTGCATGAAGATGATACAGGAAGGAGTATACTGACGCATCCAAAGAACAGTAAATATCTTTCAACTTCATAGTCATTTGCGAAACAACCTTGGTTTAGCTAGCTGCTCACCGTGAACCCAGCAAAGCCAATTTTGTTTGCAAATAGATGTATTTCGCCGATTTCGTGCAATTCGCTCTCAAGTTGGACATAAGTTTGGTGGAAACTTATGGACAGCGCCTACCTGATGAACTCGAATGCCAGCTAGCCCTTAATAAGGTATGTTTTAAACAGACCTGACATCGCGATTTGATTTGTCACTGGCATAAGCTGCCACATAGCGCCGCAAACCACGTACAGTCCCTTACCCCTCAAACGTAGTGATCGTTTGCTGCGCCATTATCTGTTCATGCAGCTAACTAACACCGAAAAACTGCCCGTATCTGTACGTTTGTTCACTGTTTGGTGCTTAGTTGCCGTTGCTTACAAGAATCTCTGCACTCTCGCTGACCATTTTCTGCCGGTGTACATAAATTGGACACACCCATAAACTGTGATTTTCAACTATCGATATTCCACCGGTATTCTGTTACGTCCAGGTCCTCCCAAAGTGGCAAAACACAGTCCAATACGGGCGAATCATTGTCAGTTCTAAATACATCGGCTTCTGCCCTCGTCCGCCTGGTCCTACTGTTAACTCGATAAGAAAAGCGCATGACCTGATAACCATAATCATCCCGTGAGATCTCAACTGCCCGGGTCTCACAAGGTTCGGGCATTGAGGGGCTCCTCAGCCGCCCGAGGAGCTCTGAGTTCAATCATTGGTCGGTCTTTTTTTCTGTTGTAGCCGACGCCCGAACTGCGATAAACGTCCAAGCAGTGACGGACCCGCAACAAAATATTTACGTGGGATACTGCAAAATAAGCTGACCTTATGTAGGAACGAACCACGAGGAATTGAGCAACAATGAGGCAAGATGGCGTTACAATAAACTGGCGTAAGACGCGCTGCTCACGAGTCGCCGAAAGAAAAAAATGACCGTTGTCCACCGCAGGAGGAATCATTACGAAAAGTTGAGTGAAAGATTCTATATTCGTTAACCATGGGCAAAAGCTCTAAATTCGTGCCATGTTAGTTTCCCACGAATGATCGGTGTTTAACTGCTTTTCTAAAGAAGAGTGCGTTCCATTTGCATCATCGCACATTTTTTAATTTATTCTAAAAATATATAGACCCAAATTACATCGAGGTTCCGGGTGGCACCTACAAGAAAATGTTACATAAAATTATCAGTTTGGCGCTACTTTACCCGGTTCGTCATAGAAGGATTTCGCAGACAAAAATACATGGCCTAAGTATTACCTAGGACCTTTTTCGCTCCTGCTAAACATTACTTGCTGACTTAAACGGAGCAGAATTTGTAGCACGACGGCCCCACCGAAATTCAGTTTGCAGTAGGAAACTCACATAGATAAGTTTGAGAACTGTACTTAAAAACCGATAGACTCGAAATATGCTGGGGAAAGAGAAGCATTAGAATATTGGGCACGCTGTAGAAAGCGCACTGTATCATGCAAGCTGTTTGCAACGAGCCATAGTGACATCTTCAAAGAACCTTGCTTGATGTTCTGGCATTCAGATGTTTGGACAGACCGTCGAAACGGAATTTGAAATATTGCATCTGGGTTTCTTCTAAATTGGCCACATTGCTTTCACGACTCCCCAACATATCGGGCATTTTGTAAGTTGCCTGAGGGCGTGGAGCGTGGAACATACAAAACTGGAATGCATAGGAGCGGATGATTTGCAAAAGCCTGACCGCAGCCAACTATAAAAGGGCACAATAATTACAAGGTAATGGCTGTTTTATTTTATCATCCGAATGTGAGCATGAATGCTGTTTTTTCACAACCAGCGGAAAAATTGAGAATCCAAAACCTATACCTCTAAAAACGTATTTTTGTCCATAGACAACTGTCAGAAAGGACTCCGGTTAAAATGTGTATTCTTGTCTTTCAGTCGGGATACAAATCTATTTACACACAAAATGCATCTGCAGCGCTACCTTTCACCACATGGGAGACTCGGTGTTGGTACATAGGTGTAGAATGACCCGTAAGTGCGCGGCGAACTTCAGCAAAGCCTGTTTGCCCTGGCACACAAGTGCGTCAACGCCCACCGCACTTAACGGATGACCTGCTTTCGGTGATCAAGTATGTGTTTCGAACAAAGTGGCCGTCGCAGGACACTGTAGATCGTTTTGTTGTTATTTTAACCTGCCGAGTTGTAGTATTAACCGCTGGCGTCAAAGCGATCACTCATCCAATATCATCGAATGATGTGACAATAAACCTTGCTTTCGTTGCACTGTGGATCTAAGGCTTTTTTTCTGCAGGCTTATTCCCATTATTGTTCTAATCTAGCCCAGTCAGTGGTTCTGACTGCTGAATTCTGTTTGTTGCCGCTGGTGTTGGGTCCGCCTTGGTTGAGTTATGCATCCGGCAATGCCATAAACCACAGATGAAAAAACTGGCCTCTCATTTGTAAAAAACGAAAAAGTAAAAGTTCTCTTAGGATAGCCCGAAGATACAGTGCAATGCCCATGACCGATATCGGCGAGAATAGTTGTATCTGTCTTCGTCAGGACAGAGGCTACACCGCACCAAAGCCTATTTCGTCATCCAAAAAGAGAATACAATTGCCCGCCGCTCCCAGTGGCAGATACAAATGTCTTCATTGCTGTGCACCACCAACAGATTAGAGCTGATAGCAGTGCTTAGTGGACTGGTGACTACTTCTCGTGAACATACATTCTCACCTGGTATTACCCAACTCATGTAATAAACATCCGATTAACCAGTTATCGTAAAGTCCACTCCCGCCAGCCCTTATATATCTGATTCCCATACCACGCTTCTGCGCGAATATATCGCCTTTTATTAGATCCCTTGTACTATAATATCGTACGTTAACAAACTCAACCCCTGGTCGCAACAAATATCGGCTACAAGGTGAAATGCAACATGAATCAGAGCTATGGTGTGACGCTTTTATGCACTCCGTTTCTATCACTTAGATATGAGCTACGCCAACATCTTTTTGACAAGGTAGCCTACCTATTCCGTACATTTTAGGACGCCAGTAGCTCACCGATTGCCCCTCACCAAGGAGACCTCCTTTTTCCCTTCCAAGATATAGGTAACTATCAGAACACCTGATATGCTTCAAATTTCGTCTAGCTCCAGCTAGATCAGCGAATTCCTCCGTTTAACACTGATGGCTGTCATTTCGTAAATGAAGGCTAATTTTTTCAGCTTCCCAGTGGGATTGACTGTAGTCGCCCCTCGCAAGTTGACTGGGCGACGTGGACGAGCCGCACCTTAGTCGCGCACTTGAGCTAGGTTCCTATGACAGTAACGTACAAACGGGAACAGCATAATTCATCATTCTTAACTAAAAGGTTAACTTTTTTATATATGGTAGGGTATATTGGTGGGAGTTGTAGTTAGTAGCACCTACAGATTCGAAACATGTGATAAATTTTCGGTGCCATTCACGTGAGGACTTTCGTTTATTTTCATTTGCAATGGGAGATTAAACATCTTGCTACTGGATGAACTGCAACCTTCAAAAAAGGATTCGGCGATTTCTGGAGAAAAGTCTAAACCATTTTTCAAAAAGTTACTCACAGAGTATACAGATGTGCTGGCATTTCGCAAAATGCGGAACCTCTGTAAATAAAAATCTGCCAATACAACATACGAAAACACGCCACCATCATGGACCTCGCTCGAAAGAAACAAAACCTTATTGTTCAAATACATGAGACCTTACCTCAGAAACAACCGCCCGCCTTCTCCTTGGGGGACAGAAACGGAGAACCGACGAGCGACCCAGCAGTGGTATCTGAGGTTTATAGAGAACACTATAACAATAAGAATTATGTTTATTCCCAACTTGTGGGTGGGATACCTTTGGCATGATCATGCGTTTACAGTCAGAATATGGTACGACTGGGGAATTTGCAGGTAGTGGGGATTCCGCGAAAAGTGGACAATGTCATGAATAATGAGAAGTATTCGATGAAATAATAATAACAGGTTTCTTTCGCAACTTGTAGGAATAAATGGGCATGAGGTCCGACTCAAATACGCAGTCGGCTGACATGAACTAAAACAGAAAACC